ATGGAGCTTAGAAAATTATAGGACCAGGGTCACTGGTCAGCAAGGGCTGAAGCGCTGACCTTCATGTGACTTCTCACTGGCTTTGTGTGCATGTTCTCCGGATCACTTTAGATCTGGCTCCAGCCAGGTTTTCAGCCTTGATTTCTCCCCCTCCTCCCCATCTCCAAACTCTGGCCCCCCTCATGGTCCCGGGAACACACTGGACTTAAGTTGCCCTTCTCTCTTTTCCTTTAGTTGCCCTTCTCTTCCTGCCCATCCATCCAGTTCTACACACACGTCCAGGTTGAGATCAAGTTCATTTTCTCCTAGAACGTGTCCCTGGCTACTTTGCACTCTCTGACAGCCTTCAGTCGCCACTGCACTCTTTACCATGAAATTAGACTGTTTCATCTTGCTCCTACTGATTCACCGTTTCTCTGAACAGTCCCACCTCCTCACTGGTAAATGAGGGGTTAGATGGATGACCTCTAAGGCTCTTTGCAGTTATAACATTCTAGGATCCTATGTCTGTTTGTCTTATCTCCTCATCTGGACTGCAAAGTCTTCAAAAGCAGGGACAACGTCTTTTCCTGGTACTGACTCCCGCAATATTCTAGCCCAGGGCTGAGCTGTGAGAGGATCCATAAGTACTTTTGTTTCCCTGATCTTTTTTTGTCCTTTTTCCTACTGGAAATGGGAGGAATGAGGAGTGGCTTCGATGCCCTGGAAGCCTGGTCTTGTAGTCTGGCCTGAAGAGAAATTGTTCCCCAATTTGTGGATATGGTAAAAATTGCCATGACATCTCGACTCTCAATGTATTCTGTTGCAGTGAATTTACACTGGGGAGCTCTGCCCAGCACAGAGAGACATCTTATTAAAGGGGGCCAGGGAACCCCCATGCAGCATACACATTTTGTGGTGAAGTAGAAAGACGTGCTCGGCTTGGTTCATGCCTTGGTTTGGCCACTTACTACCTACAAGACTTGGGCAAGTCACATGGCCTGTGTGAGTCTCCCTTGCTCCCCTCTGAAACGGCAATGGCAATACCTGCCCTGTTGTGGGAATAAAAGGATGCGACATGAAAATCTGTAAATTATAAAGCTAATAGTGGGAGGTGTGCAGTGGCCAGGAGGAAGAAGTTTGGTTACTTAACATCTCAACGTAAAAGTCAAAAAGTTAAAATGTAACAACAAAGCATAAAAAGAGAGCATAGAAGGGCTCGCCCTCTCCCGCTTTCATTATTGCACAAAGAACCACTTCTCTTCTCTAGATAATATGCTGTAGAGATGCCCCCTGCCTCTCTGCACAAAATTAAAAAGAGACAGAAAGAAATGGAAGGAAAAGAAAGCCCAGGAGTCAGGAGGAACATCCTGATACCTCTGAAAGTTGACTCTGAGGAGAGAGGAAAACGAGCAAACAGAAGCTGTCACTCACTGGCAGCCTGATTCCTGAGGGAATAATCTCTGTGAAGAAAAACTGAGATCTGAACGTGGCCTGGAGCTGGTGCGGAGACCACGGCGGCGTCCGGTGTAACCGGAGGCCCTGGGACGGAGCCTTCCTGCCCACTCTTGGGGGGGTTGGCGGCTCCGAGGGGGTCCTGCTGTTGTGCAGACTGTGCTGCTGCCCCCTGTGTGGGTGCTGCTCCCTGTTGCTCAGCATCCCAGCAGCTCTGGTGACCGGGCATGAGTGGGTATGTACGGTGGTGCCAGGCCTCACGCCACAGAAACCGACTAGAACCCTTGCCACCCCCAGCCTCTCTCGCACACTCATGCCCCTCTTTCTCTTAGCCTCTCCCAACTTCCTCTCTCTTCCCACATCCATCCGCCTTGCCTGTCACTTTTCACCCCATGAATCAGAAATCAGAGGGCCCCCTGAAGCTGGCAATTGCTGCCCCAGCCTTCTAGAAACCTGTTTGTGTGCAAACAGACAAAGGCAGCCCCCACCCCCACCCCATCACGACTTTCCAAGACGATGATTGAGTTTTTCCCCGGTTCTGCTTGATATTTCTGCCAAAGCAAGAAAAATCCTCGTTGAAGTCTAGCAGGAAATCCAATAAAAATTCTTCAAAAGATGGGCTTGACATTGAAAAACAGCAAAATTATAAAATAGGCCTTAGAAGAGAGAGAGGAGAGTTATTATATCTGGCACCAAGCAAAAGCCCCGAGACCCCGTCCAAATGAGCCATCACAGATTGAAAGTGTTTAGCTTCCCGTTGATTAAATATGGAGAAGGACCGAGGGCCTGCCAAGCCTCGGGGATCCAAAGTTTGTTTTCAGTCAGAATGTGTTTTCAGTCAATGGAAAAAATGGTCGGCCTGTGCTGGGCTGTGTAACCGAGAAGCCCCAGGTTCGGGGTGAGTAATGGCTGTGAAGCAGAAAACCACGAGGGTTGTTAATCACCCCTCCCAGGGCCCTGTAATTTAACTCAGCGACTCGTTCCACTGGGAAAGCACTCCCCATCCCCTTTCTTCCTTCTCCCTCTGTTCATTTTGCTCAAGGGGGATAGACGAGTCCCTCTGACGCTCATCTCTCTATTTCAGTTGTTAAAACTCCTCACCCCTAAGACATCTCTCTCCCCAGTCATGTCCCCATTGCCCGCTGCTCTGAACTTCTGGGGAGAACAGAGAGAGGAGACACATTCACATCGATGGGGTTCTTTCAGGGAACCCTCTTTGTCCTGGGAGCTTCCTGGAATGGAAGCCTGAAAAATCTCTTCCTTCATCATTGCCTTTCCAGGGTAGGCTGTTTTTCAGAGGTGTTCACTGACATTGTTTAAACAGGGTTATCTTACTCCAGACTTACAGTTTTCTTGTTTCCTGGGCTCTCATCTGCCCCACTGCATTCCTGTACAATTAAGAGTGTAGGGAGTCTGTTTTTGGATGTCATTAAAGCTTCCATGAGCGAGGCTCAGAGAGAGAGAGAGAAAGATCTAGAATGTATGGCATGTGGAGCTGGAACTCTGAGGTGAGCCAACCCTCGTTTCCTGTCAGATGAAAACACTTACTCTACTTTTCCGATTCCAGTCTTCCAGCCTGTGGGCAGCCTCAGGGGAGCGGGGATGCTGGCCATTTCTGACTTCCTTGCTGTGCTCCCCCTGCATGGTGCCTGGGGCCTTCATTCGCACTGTGGGTTCCACCAGCCCGCCTCTCCGGATAACTGCTTTTCATGGGTCCCACTGCACTGAAATCTGTTTAAAATTGCAGGGGACAGGCCCAGCTGAGCATTCCTTTGGTCTGCCGTTTGTTTCAAAATGGTGGTTGGCCTGAGCCGCAGCTCAATCTCAAAGACCAGGCGGCTTGATACCTTTGGGTTAAGCACCCAAATTTGGTTGCAGGAAGTCACTCAAACCAAATATTCTTTGAGGACTAGGCAAATAAACTAAAGAAAATGAGTACATAAATGGCTTTAAAATGATGACCTGTGAAACGCTCAGTGGTTTAGTGGAAACAGATTCTTTCGTAAGGACAGCAAGTCTTGGGCAGCTGAGCTGTGGAGGACATGAGCCCAGTCAGCAAATACCACAAGTGACCAATGATGAAGGAGCAAGAAGGAGACAGCTCCATGGGGTCCAGTCGTCCCAAATGGCAGCGAGAGAAGTTCTGGGAAAGGAGAAAGTTAAATCAAAAGCTGTGGAGAGGGTGTAGTGTGTGCGTGTGTTTGTGTGTGTGTGTGAAAGAGGAAAGAGGAGATGCTCCGATGTCACCACTCTTGGGAGGGAGATCAAGGAGGTGATTATAAGAGGAAGAAAGAGGACAAAACAGAGCCAAAGTCGGTCCTCATGTACAACCCTCCGCCTTCGCATCATTATAATCCTCCTCCTCACCATAGCCACCATTTACTGAGTAAATACGATGTGCCAGCACTGTGCAAAAGCTTTATATGTTGTCTAACATAGTCCTTCCAACAACTCCCCGGGACATGCTTTATCTTCTTTCTTCACAATAAGGAAGCTGAGATTCCGCGTCTGGAAGAGCACAAAGGTTGGAAGTGGCAGAGTCAGGATTTGAACCCAGGTCTGTGTAGCTTCACACCCTGAACCCCTAAAGGTAGTCGGCAGGCAGGCTGTCGTAGGCAGTGATTCCGGGGGCCCAGACATTTGGAGCGAACCCAGGAGGGTCCACATCAAAGATTCCACTTCACCGAGGGGAAGAAAACCAGTAGCCCCATCAGGTGGGCAATCTGCATACCAAAGAGCCCGGGGGGCGGGGTGGGGGGCTGCTGAGTGCCGGGTGGGCAGCAGCAAGCCCAGGTTGGAAGGGTCAGTGGCAGGTCACTGTCACCATCAATCACCCACAAGCCTTTTGTCTATAGGGGTGAGCAGGAGGGGCCTGGGCTGGGCACCAAGCCGAGCGGGTGAACCAACAGAATTTAAGGGACTCTGCTGGTGGGAGGAGATGGGAGGGAGTGTTTAGAATTTTAAGGGGAATCTTTATGGTTTGGGGAATACTCTGGTGGGTGAAAATGTTCTGTTCCTCTGTCCAGGAGCTGTGCTGATGAACATTCTGATAACAAACTAGTTTATCCCGATGTTGTCACCTCCAGGACTAGGTTTTGTATATATCTGTCCATCCATTTTCGAATGCCTCCTTGACCTGCATCACCACAGTTCCAGAAGTTACCAAGAAACGCATTATTATATGTGCATTCAGAGAAACTTACAGTTGAAAAAAATACATACATGAAACATGTATATATATAATATATGATATATATGTATACACGTGTATATAATAATATGTATACGTGAAGTTTAATAGTAGTAAATATACATATACGAGCCAGCCCTGGCGGTCTAGTGGTTAACATTCGGTGCTCTCACCGCTGCAGTCCGGGTTTGTTTCCTGGTTACGGAACCACACCACCGGTCTGTTGGTTGTCACACTATGGTGGCTGCGTGTTGCTGAAAGCTATGCCACCGGGATTTCCAATATCAGCAGTGTCACCTATGGTGGACAGGTTTCAACGGAGCTTCCAGACTGAGACAAACTAGGAAGAAGGACCTGGCCACCCGCTTCCAGAAAAGTTGGCCATGAAAACAGCAGAGCATCGTCTAACACAGCACTGGAAGGTGAGGGGATGGCATGAAAAGAGGGTTCTCCTGACGTACCCAGAGGTGCTGGGAGTTGGAATAGCCTTGATGGCAATAGTAACAAATATATACACGTATGTTATGTGCCAGGCACTGTTTTAAGTATGCGTATATATTAGAAGGACTCCTAACAATGACTGGCTGAGGTAGGAACTCCTATTATCTCGTCTTTTCATATGAAGAAACTGAGGCACAAGCACGTGAAGTGACTTGCTCAGGAGGCCGGTGGAGCAAGGATTCAACTCTAGGCTGTGTGGAGAAGGCAGGGAGATGCTGACACCTTCAAGAACAGGATGAGGAACGAAGTGAGCAGGCATAACTCAGACTCGTGGCTGCGGGAGGTCAGGGAGGGCGGGCAGGGCCATGTGGGCAGGAAGCTCTGGGGAGAGCGTAGACTTGGACAAATTGTAGGATGGGGCCGTCCAGAGCAGAGGCTGGGGTGAGACTGACCGTAGGATTTTCCTGGGAAAGAGTGAGTCTGAGTACAGAGCAGGGGGCGCTCAGGGGGCAGTGAACACATAGGCCAGTGGGCAGGCCTTGAATGCCAGGCAAAGAATTTGGTCCGTTCCCTCTGAGGAGGTGGGGCTCCCTGGCGCCTTTGGAGCCTGGAGCTGGCACCGTGTGAAGAACTAGGAGACCTGAATTCCAGGCCTGGCTCTGCCTTTAGGCATCTTGCTCAAGGTCACTCAGCTAATTCGTCTCTCTGGATTCCAGCTATGTCATTTTTTAAATAAAAGGATTAGGCTAGATGAACCCCTCTGGCTATAAAGTCTGTGGTAAAACCAGAAGAATCTGGCAGTGTTTTTGAGGAGGAATAGGGCTGAGAGAAACTGGAGGTGGTGAAAACTTGGAGTGAGAGAATGTAGAACCAGAAGGGATCTTAGAGACCTTCCCCTCCCTGTTTTACAAGTGGGGAAACTGAGGCACAGGAAGGGTAAGTGGTTTTCCCAAGCCACACAGCCCATTACTGTTGAGCTGAGGTGAGCGTGCTGGCTCTGCCCAGTGGTCTAATCTGCCTGTCCTGCCCCCGCCAGGAGGAGCTCTGAGGGGACTGGGCTTGGAGCAGGGAGGGAGGGGGCGGGGCAGGGCTAAGCCTGGGAAGGCCATCGGCCTTCATTCTGAGCCCATTTTATCACCACTGGCAGGGTGACTGTCCCCAAAGGAGCATAGCTCAATAGAGCTCCCGATCCTGGGTTCCAGTCCCGGCTCTGCCATGGCAAGGCCCCCCACTCTTTGGGGGTAGTCTTCTATGCCTTTCTGTAAAATGGCAGGGCAGTCCCTGCTCTTGGATGTCAGCTGAGGCCACAATGGCCTGAGGGCCACCAACAGGGAGAATTGAATCTGAGGTGGGACCAGGGCCAGCGTCCACTGTGGAGGCAGACCTGCAGGCCTGGGCTCCCTTTTGCTTCTCGGGGCCCAGAGCCCTGTTCCTCGTCCGTCCTGTGGTGTGGCAAAGGTTCTGGCTGGAGCTCCGGGGCCGGGTGCAGGTGGTGAGGCTGTGGAGGGCTGCCTGATCCCCTGACACTTGAATGAACTCCCTCCCAGGTTCTTATTAGCGCTCATGTCAAAGGAGTCTGGTAAAAGTTAACAGGCCTCCCTGCCTTGAGGAGATCAGAGGGACAACTGGAGCTTACTGGGGTCAGGCGGAGGTCACTGAAACCTGCTTGATAGGGCAGTCACTGGAGCTAACCCAGGTTTATGGGCCTGTGCCACCCCCTCCCCTGATCTGGAACCCAGGGCTTCTTCCAGGGTGGCTGACCTGAGCCCTCCTTCATCCAAAGGCCCCTTGGAAGGTGGCCTGGGCCTTCTTGTGGGGGCCTCCTCCCTGTTGGCCCTATACCTTCCCTAGGCCTGTGCATGGCGGGGAGGGAAAGGGACGCAGCCAGGAGAGCGCAGGACGGTTCTGGGGATGAGATGCCTGGCTGATCTGGGCCTGGGCGAGGCCTGGGCAGGTGTGACCCTGGTCGCTGACCCCTGGTGACCCAGAGGGGGAGGAGGTGAGGGTCGGGATTTGGGGAGGCTGTTGGCTAACATTTACCAGGACCTTTGAAGATGTAAATGCTTCCCCAGGCCCTGCTAGGATTGATGGGGTCAGAGTTCACAGGCATGGTTGCCTGCTTCTCCAAGTGGGCTGGAAATCTTGCAGACAGATGAGTTAGGGTCCCATGTGATGGGACTTTCCCCAAGGGCGGAGGGCTCATGCGAAATACTATTTCTGGGGCTCTCCTGGATCAGGCCCAGTGACTTGAAGGCCTTAGGAGGGGCTGACGGAAGCTGTCTTTCTCAAGTGCTCCCATTTCTCTCGGGTGTGTTTTCCAGGGTGTGTCTGATCACACACTATCAGTCACTGGAAGATCCAGGAGACAGCCTCCGTCTCCTGCCTCTCCCTGATTTGTGCTTTTTATTGTACAAATACTAGATTGCTTAAGATTTCCTGTTCATATCAGGCTCTTTCACACCTGGTACCCATCCTGTGCTAGCGCCTCTGCAGGCATGTTCTTCCCATCTTCTCAGCGTGGCTAACTCCTATTCACCCTTTAGCATCACCTCCTCCAGGAAGCCTTCCAGAATGGAATCTGCCCCTCTGCTCTGTTCTCCTGTAGAATTTAATGACTCATTCAATCAACCAATGTTAATGTGATACATACCAGGCCCTGTTCCATTGGGAATGCATCAGTGCATAAAACAGACCCAAATCCTTCCTTCAGAGAACTTACATTCTAGAGGGCAATGATAGCAAGCAATTACATAACCCTATTTCAAATGCTTTGCATGTATTAACAAATGTAATCCTCAGAACATCCCTATGAATTAGGTCGATTAGTATTCAGATTTCATATAGGAGTTTACACATCCAATAACGGGCACATTTAATTTAATTTAATCCTTACGGCAGCCTTATGAGCTAGATGTTACTTTCCTCATTTTACAGATGAGGAGACCAAGACTTAGAGGAGTTAAGTGTGTCCAAGTTCATCCAGCCAGTAAGTAGTAGGACGAAGCAGGGTGGCTCTAAGCCTGTGAAGGACCAATTGCCTCCCTGTAAGAATAGTACTCCGCATTTCTGCATTGAAGCAGTTTCTCTGTCCATTTAAATGATCTGCTCATCTTCTCCATCATCTTGGGAGCTCCCCCACGCAGTGACCTTCGCTTATTTATCTGTATCCTTTGAACTCCCCTTGTGTTAGGTACTTAATCAGCTTCTAACGAATACCTGTCTGTTAATTGATTGACAGCTGTAGGTGGGTGGAGACAAGAATAAAGCAGCTAATATTTATTGCACATACTCTATGCTGGGCTGTGCGTTGGTCCTTGCTAAGCATGAGCTCTTCCAGTCCTTACAGTGTCGTATAAATTAGCTGTGACTGCTCCGAGGCTGGCAGCTAGTATGTGCTAAAGATGGCACTTGAATCACAGGTTTCTCTGACTACAAAACTCCCTGTCCTTTCCTCTAGGCCACAGGAGGCTGCTCAAAGGAAAGGGGGCCCCTCCGAAGGCAGCGAGCTGAGCCTCCTGGCTCCTGCTATTTCAGTCCCCACCTGGCAGGAGGCCTTAGAAACACGAAGAGGCTGGGCCTGTGGGGCTCGCGCCTGCATCCACGACAGGTTGCAAGGCATCTGGAGAAGTTGAGGCTTTCCTTCCAAGATTATTCCCACCTACTCAGCTGTTTGAAGTAATTAAAGGGAGTGACTGGGCACATCAAAGGTGTTCAATGAACTTTTACTGATTGTTGTGGAATCATTCACTGTTGTAGAGAAACAGCTGGATTCAGACTAAACTGGCTGATGCTGCGGGCGTTTTCTGTGCAAGGAGGAGGATTACGGCAGAATAGACTTCAGTTTTCAGGCCCGGAGCAGAAATGGGAGAGTTCCTGCTCTACGTACGTTTGGTTTCTTTGTTCTGACATCTGTTTTTGTGTTTTTTTTGCTTTCCCAATTATGAGGGGCAAACAGACTTGAGTCTTCTGATTCGTCTGCTCATAGGGCTTAGCAGACTGGCCAGCTGGGTGTCTGTATGGGGCGAGCGGGATGCAAGAGATGGACTCAGGTCACATGGCTGTCAGGGGACCAGAGCGTGTGTCTGGGGCCTCCCAGGTTCTCCCTCCTGCTATCGGGTCTCCTTAGCTTCTGGAGCCCCGTCTCTCACAGTAGACAGCCATGTCAGATTCCCCCACTCCCTTTGGTTAATCCCCTATTTTGCTTGACTAAGAGTCAAAATGTGGGACTGCACCCAAACGAACTAAGCTCACTAAATCACTGGCAGGTAATTTGATAGACGAGTTGGCCAGCACCCACTGTGGGAATTAAGCAAAGCCTGAGCTGCGGAGACAGTAGGAAACAACCTTGAGTGACTGGTGAAGAGCGGCCTCATTTCACCCGGAGACAGGCCCAGCCCCAGCTCCACAACTCCGAGTGGAAGGCTGGTGTGTGCCAGGTGGACTGCTGACATTTCTCTCTCAGCCTCTTCCTCCAAAAGGCAGGACCAACAGACCCTGGGTCCTTGCCCTGCCTCACCTGGAGCTGGGGTATCTAACTGTTGAGAAGGGAGTGACTGTAACTGTGTCCCCACCAGCCTAGGTCTTATTTCCTTGAGCCCTCCGGTAAGAACACCAGCAAAGGATCTCGTTGGTTGAGTTCACTTGTTTGTTGAGCTAACTCAGAGGGAACAAGGGTCTTTCAACAGATGGGAGTGGTGTTGTACAAATGGGTGTTTTATGGGCCATGTGCAGAAACTGACTGCTTGTGGAAGGCTGCGCCAATCTGCAAAGGGGCCAGTTGCAAAGGAGAAACTTCTAGGTCCTTTCATCATGATGGGGATTGTTAACTCTGACTTCAGATAAGCAGAACAAACAAACCTCAGCCCACGTGGGGACTGGTTCTGCCCCCATTCTTTGCTTTTCTAAGCCATCAAAGCCAAGTTCCTAAAGCCTGACTGTCTCACGGTACTTTCTGATGGTTTCTTTGTTTTGTTTATTGTGCTTATGACAAGTGCTAACAGACCGCTTTCAAAGTGTGTTGATATTTCGGTTGTTTTTGAATGGCCCTTCTGTTTTTCTGCATCTGGACAGCATTAGAGTCTGGCCCCAGGGAACCACTGGGTTCCTATAAAAGTGTACCAGGTCCCCTTTTGCAGCAAACACTGGCCATGGCAAGATCAGACACTCCATCTGGGCAGGAACAAACACCCCAAACCAGAGCAGAATCATGAGACAGTTGTTAGCAGAAGGGAAGAAGGCCCAGGCTGGGAAGGGCCAGCGAGCCCTGCCAGCTGGACCCGGGGTGTTCTTTCTGTCCAAGGGCATATTGGGATTTTCCCATGGGAGGACTCCATCTAGCAGAGGGCCGGGCACAGGGCGATGCCACTAAGTGCTGGTCGTGGATAGGTTCCCTCTCTCTTTGTCTTCTCCCAGGGTGCCTGCTCAACCACCAGTGACCAGATAGGGGGCTCTGGGCATTAGACAAGAAACAAGAGCTGGAAGAGAGAGAAGAGCCTGGAGCCTGGGGCTGACCCGAAGAGGCAGGGCAGCCCCAGGGCGGCCTGCACTGCAGCTCCCGACCTGCTTCCCTTCACGGCTCTCTTTGGGGATCTTTTGGGAACAGAGTGGGGTGGCACTGTCCTCATAAGATTGATGTTTGTTTTTCTGGCCTTTCCCTTTCTACTTCTCCTGATCTGCCCCATCCCCACGCCTGCCACATACTGCCTTAGAACCAGCTTCCTCCATGAGAGAGAATCTCGGGGTACAGACCAGGTGCAGAGGGAATGAGTTACCCATACAGTCGCGCTTGGTAAGTTCAGCACAGACTCTCATTCATTTCTTCAAGGCTTCTGGGTTTTCCTCCTTTTGAGCTGGCTGAGATTGTAGCCCACGTAACTTACCAGCTTGTCGATGGTTCTCTCTGGTTTGGTTTCAGGAGTGGCAGGGCCCCTTTCCGACTGATCTCCAGGGAAGGCTGTGGCTCAGCTTGAGAAGGCCCTGCCTCTACCCCTATATTTAGCAGGGCCCTGGAACTCGCTCTCAGAGTCAAATGGGGTAGAGATTGAGAGGGCCGACAGTGAGCTCTGATGCCTCAGTGCTGCAGCTGGAGGGGATCCAGGCCGTCCAGATGAGGGAAAAGTGAGCTCTGTCGGCTGGTCCTCAAACAGAACCACAGGAGGCCTGTAGACCTACGGTTAGTGAGTTCATGCGTATAAATACGTTGGGGTGGGGTCAGGGGCTGCACGATGGGATTGGCTGGTGATTGCTGGTCTCTACCCACTAGGCCTCAAAGTTCTTGACTTATTTATGGTGACCCTCCCTAACATTTCCTTCCAGGTACACACTACCTTGTTAAACATTCCCATTTAAGCCACCTGTCCTACCCTGGATCTTTTTCCTTGAAGTTTTAGCATCCTTAGAATTGTATGTTACTGCACTGACTTAAGCCCACCTGGGACATCTGATAAAGTGTCACCATTTTGTTTCTCCAGGACAAGAACTGCATTGGTTGTTGGTTCCAGCAAGGAGACAAAGACAGACTCCGGGTCCAGGGCCCGGCACACCCAGACAGGCCGGGCTGATTGGCCTCTGAGAAGCTGAAAGGCATGAATATTCTATAAGAAGAACATTTCCTGTTTTCCAATGTGATTCTCTAAATGGGGGAGATAGAGAACTGTGGTGTTCTGTCTGTCACACAGTCGGTGTGTGTGTGCGCACGAGTGTGTGTGAATGCTTGTCATTTTGAAAAATTTCAAATTTTATGTAGCAGTTTCTTTCTCACCAGGGTCCCCTGCTTGTGTGAAACTTTAATTTTATAGCTTTGGCTGTTAATTCATCATGGGGACCACCATCAATAAATACTTATTGAGCTTTCACTGAGCGCAGCATGTTGAAATAAGAACTATATATTCAACTCAAGAGGAGTCAATAGCAGATGGGGGTAGATTTGGGGAGGAGTGGAAGAAACAATCATTAAGGTCTCCTCCAACCCTGAGATTTTATGACTTTATAACTAAAGCGATAGGGTCCACTTACACATTAGGCAGTCGGCAGCTCAGACAAGAGAATGGGGCTACAGGAGATGTATGGGTCATCACAAAGGTAGTCACCTTCAGAAAACCCACCCAATGCTGCCAGCACATGTCTTCAAGCCTTATGTCCATTTTGGGATTCAGGGCTGCAAAGGGATGGAGTGAATCTTCTTGGCTTTTCCCATGGTGCCCAGTAAAAGTAAATATTTGCTGACTGATGGTTGCCGTTTGATTTTGGAATTTAAAAGGAGCACAGACCTTGGGGAAGTTTGGAGCCTGTTGATGCTTTGGCAGGAAAGGACCAAGTATCCTATTTTGCAGGCTTCTCAGAGGCAGCCTGGTGGGAGTCCCCACTTGGTGGGAACCCTGGAGTGGCGTGGGCTGGGAGCAAGGCTGCCAGAGGGAGGGCTGCGTGCCTCTCATGGAGCCTATAATCAGACCAGAAACAGCCTGCCTGCCACAGCAGTGACTCAGGCCTCCTGGGGGGTTTTCTTCAACATCATGAAGATGAACATGACTCTGAGAATTCCCTTCAGACCTGGGCTTTGTGCTAGTTTTCTCCATATTTATGGGAAGATGAGCAGACCACGGTGGGAGCCTCTGGAGCAGAGTCTGTGGGTGTGCTCAGGAGAGAGGCCTGGGCTCTAGTTGGAGTGGTGAAAAGGTAAGATCTGAGCCTTAAGGGGTCAAGACATCCCTGTTGTCAGGTGGGTAGCCCATCATTATTATTATTATCATTACTATTCCCTTTGTACAAAAGAGATGCTGAAACAGAGAGCAGTAGTGGTTATGTGCCCAAGGGAACACTATCAGAACAGGAACGTATGCAGAGTGGAGGTAAATGGGAGAGGTGGAGTCCAGCCCGGCTGCCTCTAGGTCATGGTTTTTCCGCTGCCATGGGGGGTGGGGCAGGCATACAGCAGAGCCGAGAGTCCCTCTTCCTCAAAAAAGGTGATGTTCAGTGTCTGACAAGCTCCTTTGGCCCTGAGGTTAAACTGGTGGCATTAGGGCTGAAGAGTGCTGATAGAGAAGCAAGCAACTGGGAGTATTGCCTGGTTCCACATCTACTGCTCATTTGGCTGTGGGCTGCTTACCTGCCCTCTCCCAGCCTCAGTTTCCCTATCTGTAAAGTGAAGACAATAGTGGTAATGATCTCGTAGGACTGTTGGGGGCATGAAACGCAATAATACTTATGGGGAGATTTGCATCATGCCTGGAACGCAAATTAGCGATGAGTAACTATTAGGTCCCATTCCAGGGAGGCGGTCTAGTGGTTAAGGATGCAGGCTCAGAGCCTGCCTGCCTGAGCCCTGAGAGGTTAAGTGACCTGCCAGGACACACAGCTGGGGAGCAGCACAGTCATGGTGAGTTCCCGAGTCCAGCACTCTGCCCAGACCTCTCCACACTGGGTTCTTTGATCCCGGGACAGGGATGGGGCTCTCCCGGCACCAGTGCTGGTCCAGAGGTGCCTATTTTGGGGCTTGGGGCAATGTGACTTCCTAGTCTGCCTCAACAGCCACCTGGTGAGGGGCACAGCACGGAGGGATTCCAAGGGGCTGCTCCGTGAGTTCTCCTGAGGTGGCTCTGGGGTGAGCCTGAGCACTGCCCTGTCTACCCCCAACCCAGCGGGGGCAGCTGCCTCCAGGCAGAGCGGAAACCACAGGCGCAGGCAGGGTGGGGGTGCCCCGGCGCCCTGGGGATCTCAGCACGGCTTTCTGGGAAGCCTCTGTTGGTGCCTGATTCCCCCATAAAGCCATTATGTACCGGGGGAATTAATCAGGCTGTTAGGTAAGCATCACGGCACTTTTATGGCAGCTTTGAAGCTAATCTGTCACTAATGCCTGCTGGATTATCATGATTTCTTGCAGTCGTGATTCATTAACTCGGGGCCTCATAGTAATTCTATTAAACATCTTCCATCACCGTTTGCCCCAACACGTCCCCACTCTCTGTTCTATTGTGCCGCTGCAGTGGCGTGACTGGCAACCTGTGTGGTCTCCAAAAAGAAGCCCCAATGAGACGGACAGGTCCCCCTCCAGCTAGAAACCACCCAATGATGTGTCCATTCCCTGCCCGAGCCCGGAGCACGTCTCGTCCCCATTCCAGCTGGGCTTTCAGTTGATTTTTGCTTTTCTGGCAGAGGAGGCCCCAGGGCTTTTCCCAAAACGCCCATCGCTGCCTTCAAGCAGACAGCCTGCACAGAGGCGAAGGTGGGGCATACAGAATGGTGAGTGTCAGAGTGAGGCCAGCACCCCACAACCCACAGGCGACAGTCGGACCAGAGGGGCCTTCCTGCACCAGAAGTGGGTTTGGGGCCGACAGAGAAATAGGAACACTGCTAAAGAAGTCTGGTCACACACGCCCCTTTTTGCCTTCTTACTCAAGGCCAGTCAAACTCACGGGCTAGGAGGCAGGCGGAGGGGCCTGGAAGCGGTGGTGGCACACCATTGACTGCTGGGCCTGCCAGCATTAATAAAATTCCTTGGTGAGGTTTTTCAGAAAGAAATGCTTCTAGTAGGCTGGCTGTTCTCTGCAAAAGGTCAGCTTCGGGGCACGGCTTGACTGATGGGCTGCGAGCAGGCCAGAAAAAGAAAGCTGGGAGAAAGGGGCTGCGGGGGTGGGCTGAGAGGAAGCCAGCGGAGGACTGGAGCGCAGGCTCTGTCCTGGTGCCGGCGTCTTGCCCCTCGATCTGCACCATCAATCAAGCCGGGCCCTGATATCTCAACAATTTGTAATGCCTCCTACCCCTCCGACCTGCCCGAGCATGCACCAGCGCTGACCTTCTCGCCCTCACGCAGGCCTCTGCTGCCGCCCCGCTGACGGATGGCCCTCCTCCCGTGGGCGCGCCTCCCACAGCTGGGGAAACACAGGCAGGTAGAGGGGGTCAACCCCGGGGCAGCCAGAGTGCCCTAGTCACCCAGGCCAAGGGACCCTGTGTTCCCAGCAGCAGCAGGTGATGCCGGGGATAGAGAAATAGAACCGAGAGAGAGGAAAAAGGAGAAAATTCCAACTCTATAAGGAAGAGAGGAAAAAAACCCCCCACTCAAACCAAAAACCCTCTATGCATCCTGAGGTCTTCCAAGACTTCTAAAAATCTCTAACGTGGCGCGATGTCTTCTGTGCAGCTACCACACTGCCTGCTCCACTCCATCTGTGTTTTCTCACGCCTGTGCGCTTTAAGAACCGCTGAAATGGAAAACAAGTTAAAAAATACATAGATGTATATATAGTGAGACGGAGAAAGAGAGGACAGTACTCTGTAGCCTGTACTCGCATTTTTTTTTTTTGCGCCAGTATTTGTTGTAGGAGAAAGTGTATAAAAACAATCCTCAGACAACTGGAGTAAATATCCTTGACACATCAGCTGAGGGGAAGTCGGGATCCAATGCTCCCATCCTTCCTCCTTCTGGGCAGAACTGGTAGGAAGAGAAGGGATCTCTGCCCGTTTCCCAGCGTCTAGGTGGTGCTCCCTGTGTCTCATTCATGGGTGGAACGGGTTCTTCTGGTGGGGCTTGAAAACTGTACTAAGGTGGGGACTGGCCAGCTGGCCCAATGTGCCGGGTGCGCTCAGTTCCCTCTGAGGACTTGAAGGCCTTATGAAAACAGGAAGTGAAGAGTAGTCCAGACATGGCTGTGTGTGTGTGTGTGATGCTGGAGAGGCCTGTGTCTGCTGCAGAGAGGGTCAGGTGAGAATTCAGTTCAGCATGGGTGAGCTCATCCTTGGCCTTGAGGGTGGGGAAACCTGCTCTCCGACCCCCCAGCGGCCTGGCACCCCTGCAGCCTGGGCCAGACGCCCGGGCAACTTCCTCTTAGAACTTTCAGAGGCTAAAAAGGAGGGTCCAGGAGCCATGGATTTTCGAAGGAGTTGAACAGAGAGAACAGAGTGGGAGGGGTGCCAGGGAGATGGAAGGGTGGTGTTGGCAAAGCAAGGAAGTGGAGGGAAACAGAAATTGAGAGGCGGGGGAAGGAGAGAGGAGGGAGAGGAAAAGAGCCCTGAGAGAAAGATGGGAGAGAGCGCGATGGTCACGGGACAGGAGTCAGCAGGGACGAGAGAGGGAGAGGAAATTTAATGAGGGCAACTTGAAGGCCAGCTTTAACCAACAGCTGGCGGGGGGCCGGGTTTGATCTCCTTGTGAGTCAGGCAGTTTGATTAACCGTGGCCTGTGGAGGAGGATGGACACCTGGCCCTGCTGCTGAGCTCTTTGATCTCCCGGATTTCTCAGGGCCTGTGGGAGGGCAGTTGCAGGCGTGTGCGCACTCCCAGGGCCCTGGACGGCCTCGCTGGGGGCTCCCTGAAGGAAGCGGCCCTCAGAGAGGCTGGGAGGATCCGAAAGCTGGGGGTGGGGTGTGGGCGAGTCGGAAATACAAAGGACAGGGCTGGAGTTGTGTGGCCTTGTGAACACAGCCCCAAGAGGAAGGCCTGCTGAAGGAATGTGGAATGGAGGAGGCCTTTGAAGGGAAAGGTACCCCCATAATCTCGGGGGTGATTCTGTGGTGAGGCTTCCCCCGCCCTCTCTCTCTACGAGCGGATAGCTGAACTGTTAGGGAGAACCAGGCAGAGGAGAGAGCCGTTGGCACCAAATTGTGTCGCGTTGCTTGTGGCCACAGGGCTGGCTAGTTTCATCAAGGACGCAGCTCTTCTGGGGTGTGCAGAGAAGGGAGGTGTAGGGCTCCCTGGAACTGGCTCCATTTTATGCATGTTGGATGGAAATGGATTTGAGAAAAGAAAGCGACATATTGCCAAAAAAAAAAAAAACCTCTCGAGAAGAAGGAAAAAAGGAACTAAAACCTTAATGCCCTTAAAAAAGAAAACCAGAAAAAAAAGTCATATATTATATCTTTGG